CGTTTGGGTTATATTAATTTGTGTTTGGTTTAATTTAATTTGCGTTTGGTTTAATTTAATTTGTGTTTGGCTTAAATTGATTTGCGTANTTGAATCCCGGGATCCCGGGATTACCTAAAAAATATCCCGAAATCCCGGGATCCCAATTTTCCTGATATTTTGGCATCCCTACTTCACACGCCGTTGGCGAGACAGCAACGGATCAACATCGCGAGTGGCTGTTCTGCTTTGTTTCTCGAATGCAAAGATTCCATAGGCAACTTTTAGGTGGAAGCAATAATCGTTTGGTGTGAACGGCCTTTTCACTAATCGCCTTCTAATGAATTTGGGTGACAGCAAACTTTTGATTACACTAATCACCTCTAAAATCGCCTCATGTAAACACCATATAATAGTAATAGTTACCTTTTTGCTTTGCGTTTGGTTTAATTTAATTTGCGTTTGGGTGAAATTAATGTGCGTTTGGGTTAAATTAATGTGCGTTTGGGTTAAATTAATTTGCGTTTGGGTTATATTAATTTGTGTTTGGTTTAATTTAATTTGCGTTTGGTTTAATTTAATTTGTGTTTGGCTTAAATTGATTTGCGTATGGGTTAAATTGATTTGCGTTTGGTTTAAATAAATGTGCGAATGCTATATATACACAAAATGATGGCCGTTTTCGTTGTTCGGATTAAACTCAAAAACCACTGAATAGAGTTCCGTCAAATTTTTGGGAGGTTATACCTTACATATATGGTCTTATTATATGCTACTAGAAAACTAGCTAGGTGGTGCTGGAGTAGAGTTATTTATACAAGTCGTATTTATTAACCGAATTCGTTCAAATTTTAAATGTGAGCTATGTATATGTATGATGAAAAATTCTTCACCCGCTGAGTGGCACTGGAGTCGAGGTTAAAATTCATAATACGTATTCATTTTATGGTAAGCAATGGTTTTGCAGAAAATGGACCCAATGGATGGCGGTGCAGCCGAAATGTATAGAAACCCCATGTGGTTGGTCTGCTTTGGCCCTATGTTTAAGTTATACGAATTTAGTTTCAGATTGCTAAATGAAGGATAGGGTTAAGTATGGATGGAAAGACCGCAAACTTGTGTAAGCGCACTTTTGTCTGACTCCATCATGCACCCTAAATACGATCTTGTATCTACCTAGAAATCAGTTCATAAATTTAACACGAATTGCAAAAGTGGCGAACCAACAAGAAAAGATCATCGTAGGTATATCAATTGCTTAATTTTAATGATATTCAAGAGATCACATGACTCATTTAGCTAATGTATGGGAAAACTGTTCATCCTGTGGGACAGTGATTATTCTTGCCCCCCTACAACGGAAAACGCAATCCGGGCTCTTGAGTTTCCTCTTAACGACTTTTATTGGTTCACACATCGGACCAATGTTGTAGTTGCAAGATCATAGAAAAATATTACGCATGCTTAGCAGAGATCTCACAGGTAGACATAAGACCATCGGCAAAGCTCATGACACCGAAAGGGATAAGTATTCCATATAGATAGCTGAGTGGAAGATCGTCCTCTCTCGGCAGCCAGTTCGAAAACACACTATCTCAGAAAATTTTTCAACGACGCCCTACTTCATAATTTTATGGAAAAGCACCCTATCTCAAAATTTGGTTGAAGAACGCCCTATCTCAGAATTCGGTTCAAAAACGCCGTATTTCAGGTGCCGATTCAAAAACGCACTTTCTCAGTACATTTTCAATGCATTTTCGTTTAAGATAGGGCGTTTTTGAACCGAATTCTGATATAGGGCGTTCTTCAACGAAATTATGAGATAGGGTGTTTTTGAACTGGCTGCCGAGATAGGTTGATCTGCCATCAGCCATCACTATGGCATCACAGCGTTACTATTCTTGGTCTATGTGTGAGGAGGATACTGCGCTTTAGTGGTTTCAACTTAAACTAAAAATTTTGACTTTAAAGACTATTTTTGCTCTTAAACGCTCTTTTGCATTGGCCAACGCAAAAGTTCATGTGCATAAAGTTAGCGAAACATCAAGAAAAAAATGTCGCATATATCCATGAATTTGCCGTTTTTTTGCCGTTAATTAATTGTGGAAAAAATAATTTTGTCGCTCTGGTATTTTTGTAGATATAAGGTGTTTTGTTAACTTTATATAAAGCTAGCGAAGCACCCCTCCAAACTAAAAGACAAAAGACTAGGCTTTATGTCAAAATTTGCCGTTTTTTTGCCGTTAATTAATTGTGGAAAAAATAATTTTGTCGCTCTGGTATTTTTGTAGATATAAGGTGTTTTGTTAACTTTATATAAAGCTAGCGAAGCACCCCTCCAAACTAAAAGACAAAAGACTAGGCTTTATGTCAAAATTTGCCGTTTTTTTGCCGTTAATTAATTGTGGAAAAAATAATTTTGTCGCTCTGGTATTTTTGTAGATATAAGGTGTTTTGTTAACTTTATATAAAGCTAGCGAAGCACCCCTCCAAACTCAAAGACAAAAGACTAGGCTTTACGCCAAAATTTGCCGTTTTTTTCGTTCTAAGATGAGCTAGTTCACTTTTGAAAAAAATAATTTTTTTTTAGTAAAGTTTATTTATTTTTTTCAATGTTC